ACGTGCAACACCTGGGTATCTTTATTGTGGAAACGTTTTGCCCCAGAGTGGCTTCATCGGTCCAATACAATTAAAGAACAGTGAGGATCAGAAGAAGATTAAGGCAATAAGTATACAAGACCTTTCTTCGCGTATATGTTGTATTCTTATCAAGCTGATGCGCTTATTACATAGACTCCAGGCTGAGGGATTGATTACCTCAATCTTCTCCTGATCTTCACTATTTCTCTTTGTATTGGACTGATGAAGCCACTGTGTGGCGAAACGTTTCCACAATAAAGATACCCAAGTGTTGCACATGTGTCTAATTATACAAAGCCTGCAGAACAATGACTCAGATTTGGAAAAGACAGACAGTGACCAATTAATAATAGCTACCACTACGAACTAACCTTTGACTTCACCTATCGTCAATATATAATAAAGAATACAACCCAGAAATCTGTTTTGAAAAGGAGATAACGAGGGATTAAAAAGTTTCCAGAAAACAGGACAACGAATTCATAGGGATCGAAACAAGAGAACTTCTGTATATTTTTTTAACGGTGTTACGAAGTGACAGAGATACATCGCTATTCTGAGAGTTACAAGAATCGAGAGAACACGTAGTTCAACAGGGATATATCTTCACTCGGAGAGACAAGGAAGTAGTCAAGAGAACACGTAGTAAGGTAGGCAATGGAGGACACATGCAACGAAAAACTTTTTTGTGTGTCAACCTTTCGTTCTATGAAATCTATTAAATTTTTGTGTGTATCCTCAGTCACTGTCGGCAGTACGCTCTTGTAACCAGTTATAGAACGGAATGAATGAGAACAGATAAAGGAGTCTAATGCAAGAAAGGAGTTTAAAAATGTCACATAAAAAAAAATGTCAATGGTAAACCGACAGTCTGGCTGGATAGTGGGCTGGGTCATGGGAGAGTGACTGTGCCATGATTATCAGATGAGGATCAAGCTTTCATACAACTTGGGTTTAAATAACCATAACGTAGCCATTTTTCTAAGGTAAATGCTGTAGAGGTTGGAAACAGGGGCGGCCCCCCACCACGAGACACTGAGTCACTGCTCCACGTGATGGTGATTTATGATGATGATGATGATGTGTGATGATGATGATGATGATGATGATGATGATGATGATGATGATGATGATGATGATGATGATGATGATGATGATGATGATGATGATGATGATGATGATGATGATGATGATGATTTATATTCACAAAACAGTGCTAAGTATGAATGAAAACTCAAAAGGAGCAAACAAATAGAGGACGATTACAAAAAACTATGCTATGACTTACACTAGCTACAGGAAGTCAGAAATGGTTGTTAGAGATCATTCCTAGCCCTAAACCCTAAAGGTGGTACAGCCCCACGAGGAATGGGAAGCAACCAGGTTTGATCCAAGAGAGAGCAGTTCCACTTCCTCTGATCAATAAGCTTTCACCAGCATAGGAACGTCCGTAAAGGGCCAGACTGCGACCATGGTGCCAAGAAACTAAACATTACACATGCGATGAAAGAGGTTCACAAAATAGGTTCACGTCAACTGAATAACGTCGGTAACTTACGGTCATTGATTACTGGGGGGTTTAAAGCCTATCACCTAGGCGAAGGTTATCAAGACTCTTTGCAACCTGTTCAACAACAGTCAAGAATACATTAATCCCTATAGTTGGGATTAAACTCAGCTCTCACTGTATATACATTTAGAAACAAATCCTGTGTGACCTGCACTTAATGGTTCATCGAATTTAAAGCCTACTGACTACACGAGGAGTCATTAAAACTGGCTCTTCACCACCAACCAATAATACTTTGATCTCTAGAATACGCATTAAAGCAAGTTCTCATTATATATATACTGGGAGACATACACCTCACGGTGTACATATCTCTAGCATACATAAGAGCGGTATTCGGAACTGTAAAAGAAGTGTTCTAGATGTTATCTTTAGCTTACATGCGTGCCGCATTCCTAAAATATGCGACGCTGCTCTAAAGCCACACCCGGCACACAGCATTAAGAGTATTTAGAATATTAAGGAGATGGAAAGACTGATACAATTTTAGCGCTAAAAATGAAGAAACAAAAGTTACAAGGATAGCCTTCACAAACTCTTACTCATGACAACAGAACTGAGAGAGAGTAGACATGACCACAACATACAAGTTACGTACAGAAATATACAAATAGACACAGACTGGACATTACGAAATGAACTACAGTAAGGTGACTAAGCTAGAAGCTGAATACGCAGATGAGTCTCAACAGACAGAAAACACGTTAGTAATATACATATAAGCAACAGAGGAGTGCAAAAGCCTAACGAATGACACTGTAGAAGAAATAAAAAAAATCCTCCCCTAAGATTTGCTGTAATTCCAGGCAACGACAACCAACATTGTCAAGAAGCGAGCCCAAGATCTGAGGCTAATTATACACCACACACACACCCCACACACACACACACCACACACACACACACACACACACACACACACACAATACTAACATCAGGCTAACCTTCAGATACATGGTTGTTGAAGGTCAAGTAAACTATACAGAGAATAGGCTAAACCAAAACTGGAATGGGAAATAATAATGATAATACGTTGTTCGAAAAACAAACACGCCACCAAACAGTGCCCAAGAAATATGAATTACGAAGATTGAAAACACTTATAATGTCCTCGTTAGCAGAAGACAGGAAAAATGAAGACATGATCATTATATGTTAACACCATAAAAATCGAAAAAATTGCACCTATTATTTTATCACCATAACAGTAGAGAGAACAATAGTTCACCATAACCATAAACTAAGAAATTAGAGTGACAGTACACCAAAAATAGCTTTTCACAAGTTATTTACCGTTTGAATGTGACCTAGTTTGTGCTGCAATCACCAGAATATTAAAATTATAACAAACAAAATATTGAGGACAGGACACCACAAAACAGCTCCTTTCCTTTAACTATAAACACTTAAGAACGTAAGAATGATGAAACGATGCAGCAGACATACTGGCCCAAGCTAGGCAAGTCTATCTCACATCCACTTACATACCCGTCCGACCTAAATTTAATGCTACCCAAAGTTCTCGCCCCAGTAACGCCACCTGAGAGTCCTGTCTTGGATACCGTCAGCACGTTGTACAACTAAATTGTTATAACTGACCATAATTTTTAAAAGGGTGGACCGGTAACCCAGTGGAAGGCCTCGGTCAGATGACCAAAAGCTCTAACGGTGGGTCACCATATGATTAAGACCCCCGTCAGGAAATACTTGTCCCGTTTCCTGACGAACCTTACCTAACCTATCAACACGTTATTTATATCTCCTTTATTTATTCCTGCTTTCCCCTTGCACACTTCAATCATCTCTCTCCTATCCTCGTAGGGATGGTTTCGGATTCATGGGATCAATTTCGTCATCCTTTGCATAGTTTCTAGAATTTATGACCATTCCGAAATATGGAGACCAGAACTAAGCAGCGTAATCTAGGTGAGACCTAACCAAAGATATATTTATTTATTTATTTAGTAATTTTAGCATACATACAGAGGTACAAAAAAATACAGGTAAGAGCAGCATGCCAAAGCCACTTATATGCATAGCATTACGGGCTGCATAAAGTTGAAATATAACCGCAGGACTTCTGCGTAATCATATATTAAAGGTTGCAAGAAACTGATCATGAAGAATGTTCTTAACACCATCGACAGGAACAAGAGGCCACAGATAAATACAAACAATACGGCGGAGAAAGAACATTTAAGCACAAATATGTAAACACTGGTCAGCTGTGGCAAGAAGAGACCAGTAGTACAGAGCAGTACAAACACACGCACATTGAAGATTACTGTTAAATTTGTATATTATAGAGGATGGTTAAACATGTTCACGACACAGCATCAATCCCAGTTATAAGAAACAATTATAACCTTATACATCATCACGTATCACTACGAGCATACACCACACGAAGACAACGTTGCATTTCTTTGAGAATACATTACACAAACAAGAATACGTCATTAACAGGTTATGTACAAGATAGCACCAACGCTATACATAGTCGTCTCTCTACATGTCATCCTCTTGGTCTATATGTCACCATTTTGGCAGCAACAGCCTGGTTGACCAAGCTAGCACTAGACGGGCTCCGGGAGTACAAAATCTCGAAACTCAAAGGTATATCAAAGGTAAAAGGTTGGCCAACGTCACCATTTGGCCTACACGCCACCATCTTGGCTTACAAGTCACCATCTTGGCCTATATGTCACCATCTTGGGCTACATGCCACCATCTTGGCCTGCATATCACCATCTTAGCCTCTGTGTCACCATCTTGGCCTACATGTCACCATCTTGGCCTACATATCACCATCTTGGCCTAAATGTCACCATCTTGACCTACATATCACCATCTTGGCCTACAAGTCACCATCCTGGCCTACAAGTCACCATCTTAGACAACACACCACCACCCGGTACTTCAGTGTACCTGCCGGTACATTCTGCCTTCGCTGCATCGCTTTCACTGCACTACATTGCCTATTGGTAAAAACTTTACACAAGAACAAAGGAACACTACAGTAGGCCTATTGGTTCATGCTAGGTAGGTTTAAATCACACCCACTCCTGTACCTGTCCAACCTATATCAAAAGTTACCCAAAGTTTTCGCCTTTGACGCTACATGGGAGTTTATTCTAGTCATTCAAACTGTACTGCCATACCAGTACTTCTTTAGATCTATTCTAAATTTCTCCACCTTTAATCCATTGGCGCGAGTCGTGTCTTGGCGAGACATTTTTAATACGTTATTTATATCCCCTTTATTTATTCCTGTTTTTCATTTGTTCACTTCAATTATATTTTCTCTAATTCTACGCCTTTCCAGAGTGCGATTTCCTATTTAATAGAACGATTTCTCATACAAGGAATTAACTTCGCCATCCTTCTCTGTGTTTTCCAGAGCATTTATGTCCATCCTGTACTATGGAAACCAGAACTAAGTAGCATAATCTTAATGAGGTCTAATCATAGATATATAATGTTGAAGTATAACCTGAAAACGTCTATTAGTTATAATTCTTGATTTGAAGCCAAGAAATCTATTAGCTTCATTGCTGTTGTCTTGGCTATACCTGAACGTCTAAATTTTTTTTACGTTCATTTTGACTAAGATCTACATTATTCTTATCAGTACCTTGGTTGTTTTCTTCTAGGATTAATACTTCACACTAGTCTGCGTTGAACTTGCATCTGCCATTTCTCCACCCACATCAACCTACCCAAGTCATTAAAATTTATTTGATTTATTTTAGTGTCATCGGCAAACTTATGTTGCTATTTATTCCCTCATACATGTCTTTTATGTAGATTGTGCACCACATGGGTCCTAATACTGACCCTTGTGGCACTCCATAAAATAGAGCATTATTTCAATAATCTTCATGTAAAAACAATAATCGAAATTACTAATAACTTGAAATAGACTTTTCTAGTGTACTAATACGTTTCAATGGCTGAAAATAAAAATTATATAAAAAACACACTGGAGTGCAAGGTTTGATGTAGACCAAGAGAAGTACACGAGAGGAAGGGCAGGAGAATAGTGGCACTACGCATATTCCTAAATTAGTTGAGTTAGTGACCTTATTTAGGTTGTAAACAATTATGTTACAGCACGCACTAGTGGTCATTGCGCTGGTTCTGTTAATTATGGGCAGTGTAGGAGTCAGTGTTACCTTGAGTCGCTTCCGGAGGTCACCGCCCCCGTGGCCCGGTCTCAGACCAGGCATCCTGGTTGCTGGCCTGATCAATCAAGCTGTTAGTGCCCGTCGCCCGCAGTCCAACGTATGCATATCAACCCAGTGTTTTGAGGAATCTGTTGAGTTCCCTCTTGAAGACAGCTAGGGGTTTGTTGGTAGCCTCCTTTTTGCACGGAGGGAGGGCGCTGAAGAGTTGTGCTCCCTTATACAACTTAAAATATATTCTTCATTGATTTTTTTCCACGCTTTGAACTGCATGTCCTTCAGTTTATATACGGAGAGAGCCTATTGTAATTCCTGCTTTAATGATTAAGGTGTTCTTGACTGGTGGTGAACTACCTGGAGTTTACCTGGAGAGAGTTCCGGGGGTCAACGCCCCCGCGGCCCGGTCTGTGACCAGGCCTCCTGGTGGATCAGAGCCTGATCAACCAGGCTGTTGCTGCTGGCTGCACGCAAACCAACGTACGAGCCACAGCCCGGCTGGTCAGGAACCGACTTTAGGTGCTTGTCCAGTGCCAGCTTGAAGACTGCCAGGGGTCTGTTGGTAACAACTAGGTGGCATGCATCTTAATGACTGGTGCAGTCGATAGGTATTAAACCTCATGAACCAACCAACGAACATCGAGAAGCATATATGTCTCAACATTTATATGCCGAGAGCTTACCTTCATCCCTGTTTTAAAGATTAAGGTATTCTTGAATGGTAGTGTACAGGTGAAATGTAGCTTTAATGACTTAGTGTAATCGATAAGCTTTAAAACCTACCAAACAAATCAGAGGATATGAACTTGTACAAAACATCAAACCCGATCAAAGTTCATTTTTGGATCAGTTAATGTAACTCGAAGTTCCTTCAAACTACTGCTGCCGCTATACTTACTATTGACTTTTCTGTCGAATAATTTTCTACCACTGTTAAGCTAGTGTTTCTTGGCCCTCAAGGTGATGACTGTTGTAATGACATATTTCTGAGGCTAGGCTCTCGGCTCTCAAAGTGAGGACTATTAAATAATGAGATCATGTATCTGAACCTGAGGCTCTCCAACTCTCCCAGCGAAGCCTACTGTAGTTAATCCCATTTTCTTTCTTACCCTTAAATTTAATTTCCCTGCCAGCGAGAGACTTTTTTTTTTTTGAAGAGTATCATAGGACAAGAATGGAGGAACACTGCAGCAGGCCTACTGGCCCACGTAAGGCTAGTCCCTATCAAACCTAAATCCACTAACAAAAAAAATTATAGTGGGACACTACCAAAAATTAGCACGTCGAACAAGTGGGACAGAACACTCAGTGGATTGGTTTCTTAAACTGGTGGCAGCATTATTAAAAATAGTATGTATGGGCTTCGACAGACACAGCAACATCTCAAATGTTACCGTCCAACTTTAGCTAGGCAACAAATACATTACTGAATACACCACTAGCGACGTGTTGGTAAATCGCTTTATCAAAACATTTTCCGAGGCACAGCAGTCTCTCCAGCGAGTGATGCACTGATAGCTCTTTCAGTGCTCCCACTGGCTTGACGTCCATAACACTGCACAACACCTGGGTTGGTCGTGTAACATGTGTTATGCCAAGGGATACTAGCAGTGGGGTTGGGGTTTTCAGTACCTCTTCCTGGTTTTAACTTGACCAGCAACAAATGATGCATCCTAAAGTTTACAATTTAGTTTGTGCTGAGATACATGAGAGTGATTCAGCACTATGAAATAAAAAAAATCACGTTCACTAACCACTTACAACCTTAATTATCCACACTGATACACGCATTATAAAACAGTAGATAATTTCGTATAAATACTCTACATTAATTATTTAAAAACAAATCAACTGGAATACATTAAAAATAAACTGGACTTAAAAGTTCTAAGAGACAAAGTCATTTATCTTAGCAAATAAGAGAAAAACAATAAACTCGTAAAGTAAAAGCAGGAAGTAAACAGTAACAATACAGACAGCAACACACCGTAAGCAGTAGAAAGGAAAAGAGAGGGAGACTTGAAGAGCACAATAACTTTTGAGATCACTTAACACTTGACAACGACAACAAAAATGTTACACAAGAACACTCAAGGTAAAACTAGGTAATAAAAATAAATATTACCGGCAATGACAAACGGACAACATAAACCAAACACTATCACACCATAGTAATCCACATCACTTAAAAATCCTCAATAAATTTTCAATATCAAAAAACTCCTAAAGGTCTCCCGAGATCCCTTCAAGCGCCCCGGTGATCATAAATATAACGATTTAAGTGAAAAGGTTGAAGAATGGGAAAACTAGTAAAATGTTCTCCACGGTCAGCAACACATCAGAAGTCACACAAAGGAAGAGAGGGGAAGGGAAGGGAAGGGCGGGAGTAAATTGTGTTTAACCACTGAACTCTCAAGCCTTTCAGTAAACCCAGATTATTTTCTTTTAGTTTTACAAAGGAATGTCATTGCATTCTGTATGTATCAAGGTATTGGTCATACACAAGTGTACTGGATAAAATTAAATTTTTAATGCAGTACAGAAGTGTTAGAACAAGTTTTTTTTTTTACGCTAGTTACTGGTAAATATAATTTACGTATGCTACAATGAACAATAAGCTTTCCAGTTTAACAATTTTTAACAGTCTTAACGTTTAAATTTACGACACAAAATTATCCTGACAATAATATAGTATCAACATGTAAGTAAATATCTGTAATTAGAAGGTAACAAAAACGGCATTCAACAATAAATAACAGGCCTTTGTTAAGTTAATATCTAAAATGTTTAACACAAAATTTCTTAACAGCCATGTGTAGCGATACAGCACTTAACAACATAAATAGTAGGCTACCTATCACACTGGATGGTCCAAGACCCTACTGAGGTCTTTGTAGCCCCTGGCCACTCTTATAATACAAGACTTGACTCTTATATAAAACTTTGAGTTAGAAGGGACGTCTGCATCAGTAAGTATAGTTCTCAGTATGTAATATTCTGCGTTTTAATACTCTATTTGTTAAAGATGAAAGTATACTTGATGGTTAGTAATTATGTAGATTGAAGTCTCAAAGATCCTAGCCAGCAGTGAGGCCTTCATTCCAATCTAATACAACAGGCAGACCTTCATCGAGGTTAATAGGATTTTAGGTTTAAGGCACACTGACTACACGAGGGTAACCAAGGCTGCAATTTACCTACATATTTACATCAAGAATTCTTTGACATTAAAGATAGATATTAAGGTAAATGTCGGTATATTTTCTCGGAGATACTCATCTCCATGTGTATATATCCTCCCCTTTAAGGTTAATATTTACACCGAAGCCCCAGCACTCGCTAGCAGCAGCCACAAGCCTTCCTAATTACAGTACCCAAGCTTCGTCCCTCATGATTCTCAGCTACTTCATATTCATTCTGGCCTGTTAATTTGCAAAATTCATTGGTACTGTTTCTGTATCTAGTTGGCCTTCAATTAAAGAACATATTATATTTCCTCCCATGAAGTGCAAAAAGCCCAGCCGAACTACACTGTAAAGTACTGAGGTAAAATGTAATTATTTTTCACACATATGCTGTAAGTACACCAGGGTGACCAGACACACTGATGTTCACTTAACCTACCTACCTCTCTCCCTCTCTCTACCTACCCCTCTCTCTCTCTCCCTACCTACCCCTCTCTCTCTCTCTCTCTCTCTCTCTCTCTCTCTCTCTCTCTCTCTCTCACCACAGAGAACAGTAACATGCTAACTAGTAAACAATATGGTTCTCAGTCTGCACATTCATTTATATCAAATTTGGTAAGTTACTATACATAGTTACGGAAACTGTTCATAAATAACTGGATGGGCAGACTGTATTTACCTGGACTTTAAGAAAACTTTTGATAAAGTTCCCCACGAAAGACTAACTTTAAAGCTACAACATACAGGAGAAATTAGAGGAAAAATAAAACAATAGATGAGAGACTTTTAGTTAAAGAGGAAAATACGAATAGTTTTAAGATTAAAAGTGTCTGCATGGGGGGGGGGGGATGTACAAGTGGGGTGCCACAAGGGTTTGTACTTGCCCCAATATTTTTTTCTAATTTATTTAAGTGACTTACCAGAAGAAATAAAAATTATATGAATATGTTTACAGATGATGCAAAAATCTTATGTAAATTAATGATGAAAACGACTAAATTTTTACAAGAGGATCTGGATACACTTGAGCACATAATGATAGATGGATGATGAAATTTAATGTAGATAAATGCCATGTAATGGATATGGGAGAAAGTGAAATCAAGTCACATGAAGAATATAAACTGTGACAAAATATCGAAAGTATCAGATAGAGAATGGGATCTAGGAGTTATTAAAAAAATATCACAAAACTATCATGTAAATAAAACTGAGAAATTCATGTTACACCGGCAAACTATATAGATGGTGAAATGCTAAGAAACTTGTTTATAACTTATATTAAGCCATAACTGGAATATGTAGCAGTTATGTGGTACCCATACCTGAAAAAAAACAATTTAGAAAAGGTTTAAAGAAGAACTATAAAATGGGTGAAAAAGTTGAGCAGTATGAACTATAAGGAAATGTTGAAAACATTAAAGATGCCCATGTTGAGTGATAGCAGGACAAGAGGTAACATAATAAGGACATACAAGATCTTGAAAGGACTTGAAAGAGAAGGTAAAGAATATTTTTAGTAGCTTCAACAGGAATAACAAGAGACTACAGCTGCAAATTGAGGAGTGGGAAGGATAACAGAAAAGGTTTCTTTTCAGACAGAATGGTTGACCAGTGGAATGCATTAAAGGAGGAATTAGTAAGTGCTGGAACCACTGGAAATTTAAGAAAAAAATATATATGACGAACAGAGTATCGAAGCTGTGACACCATGCGCAAAACTACGCTGCTGTAGCTACAACTAGGTTGTTATTACACACACACACACACACACACACACACACACACACACACACACACACACACACACACACACACACACACACACACACACACACACACTAGTAGCATTTAACATTAAATATTGCTATACAGCATTTGTTGATTATCATACCGTAGTAACACCTTCAAAAATGCGATATAATTTGGTGAAACATTTTAGGGTCACTGAAACAGTATCCAACATACAGCCTCACTTTCATTGTATGTCACTAGCATCACTGTTGTCTTACACTGAATGCATTGTATGTCCTTCAGAGCTTTCACTGTTTTATTGTCACTATTCGAGTAATACGAAGCTCGTCACCACTACTGACTGTAGTTTACGCTAGTTTGGCAACTTGTTACACACTAATTTCACACAAAGTCGCTTCAGTCACAGTCCAGAGTGCTGGTGTTGTCTCCACGGACCGTGGAATATAATTAACGTATCCTAGCTACCTCATCTCAGCCTCCACCTGCAGCCTAGCTACCTCATCTCAGCCTCCACCTGCAGCCTAGCTACCTCATCTCAGCCTCCACCTGTAGCCTATCTTGTACTATAAAACAAAATTGTAATCAGGTCTCAAGACTCTAAGCCATCAGAACCTGTAATAAATGTGGTAATAAAAATAATAATGTAATATCACACCACTTCATCTGACTTACACCTTAAATAAACATCCGTACTCAGAATTATTTACAGAGAAGCTTGAATTACTAATAAAAATATGAAAGGCAATCTAGCAATTTTTCGTTTAAAATGCAAAATAATTTGTATATACAAATACATTAACTGTCCTGGACCTACCGGTGACTTTAATGTAAGACAGAAATGGAGAGTTGTTAAGTAATGAAGGTTTTGAGACCTTACGAAGTAACAGCAAATTTAATGAGATACTCAAGTTTATAGCGTAAAGTAAACTTTACGTTGTGAAAAATGGTTACGAGATTGTGGTGGAGAAAGACAAAGCCTTACATGGTTAAAGCCAGGCTCACATCAAACTAAACACGTCTTAATAAATATCAGATACGGATGAAATATGGACATACGTCAGCAGAAATATAAATTTTACTGCAGACATCAAAGAAATGATTCGGCAAGAGAATGAGAGAAAACATCTACATTGTGGAAACTGTCTCGAGGTCTGTGTGTCGTGTGGTGCCCTCTGGCGAATACGAGGAATATATACTCCTGGTGACGACTCGGTTGAGCAGGTTCCTGGGCGGTGGCCTCCGACGGGTGGGACAGCAGCTGCAACAGCAGCAACAGCAACTGCAGCAGCTCCGCCGAGACGATGACGACCCACAATACAGGTCTTCCAGTCGCTTCTTCATGGACCGTCGGAAGTTCTTTGACATGAAGCAGTAGATGATAGGGTTGATGCAGCAGTGAATAAAGGGGAGGAGGATGAAGACGATGTTGAAGTTGTAGAACACCTGAAGGGGAAGATGTTATGTAATGACTGGTCGCAGAATGCCTGCCAGGGAAGATTAACATTAAATCTGAAGAACACTTCCCGAAGAAGTTGTAAGGTTATAACCACGTGCATAACACCTGCCTGGGAACATGTGTGACAGTCAAAACACGTCATAACATATGACTGGGAACGTGTGTGACAGTGATAACAAGGCTCACGACACTTGCTGATGGGTAAAATATGCATTACAACATAACCCTCTTGAGGATATCCAACGCTAGATCTATTAACTTATCTAGATCCATCCATACCTGATGATAACTCATCCAAAATCCCGACCATACATAACCTACCCAAAATAGCTAATTTGAAAAATATTTCTCTCATATATGTCGTGCCGAATAGGTAAAACCGGTCAATTAGAAACAACTCATTTAAAATTAAGTCCTTTCTAAAATTTTATCTTGTACATTTAAAGATATACTTTTTTCATTTATGTTAATGTAAAAATTAATAAATTTGTAACAAAAGAACCATAGAAAACTTACCTACTTAACTACAAGCGCAATTTAATTTAACCTAATCCGACTAAATATATTTTAGGTAAGTTTACAATAATTTAATAATAAACACACAATGAAAATTTTTTTTTCGTTAGGTTCGGAACGATTTTTGCGATATTATTAGGTACACAAATTTTCACTTGCCTTATTCGACAAGAAGTGTTGCTATTTAAGCTAAAATAGCAATTTTTACCTATTCGGCACGATATACAGTATATATATATATATATATAATATATATATATATATATATATATATATATATATATATATATATATATATATATATATATATATAACTTCATCCCATCTTAAATGTTTTGCTAGTGGGATGGATTGTAAAGGACCTGCCTAGTATGGGTCAACAGGCCTGTTGCAGTGTTCCTCCTTATGTTCTAAGGTCAGAAACCCATGAAGCATGGGACAAGGGTGCTTTAAAGTTCCTCAAAGAACTGGATGAAAAACTCCTCATAGAAACCATGGACCACAGGGCGGCCACCTTCCTCTTTCAGAGACTCGGTGTTGCGATCCAGAGAGTAAATGCCTGCAGCATTCTGGGTACGTGGCCCACCGCCGGGGAGCTGGACGAAGCATTCGAGATGTAGCTCTGAGTTATCTATGTCGTTTTACTCCCTATTGCATTTTTGTCAGTGTATTTTGTCAATGTATTTTGTCTTTAAATAAAGTATCTATAAAATATAAGGGGTGGTAGGAGAAAACAATTTTCAAACAGTTTCATGAAGAACCTTGAGTTTTCCCTGAAGCAAGTCTATTCTTTTCTCTGAGGATGAGGTTCCCTAGGACAGTTCCAGAGGTGGTACCTCCCTCTCTATTTATCTATCTATATACATAATATATATATATATATAATATATATATATATATATATATATATATATATATATATATATATATATATATAAATATACACACACGCACAAACACATGGAAGAGGTGAGTCGACCCCGACAACCACACACACAGGTGAGTGTACACACACAGAGCAACAGAGTTTGTGGATATAGAAGAGTGGGTGCAGGAGGAACGAGGAGCGACTGGTGGAATGACAAGGCAAAGAGCGATACGGGAGAAAAAGTTGTCATATGAGAGGTTTTCACCAAGCAGAAGTGATATACAAAGAGTAAAACAGAGATAAAAAAAAAATAGTGAGGAGTGTAAAGGGAGAGCGAATGAGTGGGTGAAGTGTTATCAACAAATTTTACTGAAATAAGAGAAAGTTTTGTAATGAACTTGAGTACAGTGGTACAAACACTAACATAAGACCGAAGCATAGATTTTAAATATTGCAGCAAGGGGAAGGCTGGAGGCAGTGGAAATGTTTTGTGTAAGGGCAATGTGTTAAGTGAATATTATATAGAGAATTTGTGGTTTGGATATTAGATGGAAGTGTGGAGGATTAAAAGAGGATTATTCAGAGTGCTGAGGAAGGGTTGCTGAGGTGGTTAGGACACTCAGAGTGGATGGAAAAAAAATAGAATGACTTAGAGGGTGTATAAATCTGTATTGGAATGAAGGCGAAGTAGGGGCCGTCCTAGGAAAGGTTGAAGATAAGGCAAGTGAGTTCTAGAACTCAATAGCCAGTGAGCTTACCTGCCTACCTGGAGGGTGTTCCGGAGATCAACGCCCCCACGGCCCGGTCCACGACCAGGCCTCCTGGTGGATCAGGGCCTGATCAACCAGGCTGTTACTGCTGGCCGCACATAGTCCAACTTACGAATCACAGCCCGGCTGATCTGGCACCGACTTTAAGGATCTGTCCAGCTCCCTCTTGAAGGCAGCCAGGGGCCTACTGGTAATTCCCCTTATGCATGGTGGGAGGCTGTTGAATAGTCTTGGGCCCCGGACACTTACTGTGTTTTAGTGTACCAATGGTGCCCCTGCTTTTCATGGGGTTATGTTGCACCGCCTGCCTAGCCTTTTACTTTCGTAAGGAGTGATTTCTGCGTGCAGATACACGACCATTCTTTCTAGGATTTTCCAAGTGTAGATTATGATATATTTCTCGTCTGCGTTCCAGCGAGTACAAGTCAAGTGCTTCCAATCGTTCCCAGTACTTAAGGTGTTTGATGGAACTTATAAGTGCAGTAAAGGTTCTCTGTACATTTTCTAGATCTGCAATTTCACCTACTTTGAACGGAGATGTTAATGTACAGCAGTATTCCAGCCTAGAGAGAACAAGTGATTTAAAAAGGATCATCATTGGCTTGGCATCTCTTGTTTTGAACGATCTCATTATCCGTCCTATCATTTTCTTCGCAGTTGTGATCGTGGCAGTGTTGTAATCCTTGAAAGTGAGATCCTCAGACATTACCACTCCCAGGTTTCTCACATTATTTTTTCGCTCTATTGTATGACTAGAGTTTGTGGTATATTCAGTTCTAATTATCTCCTCCAGTTTTCCATAACGGAGTAGTTGGAATTTGTCTTCAATCATGTTGTTTTCCGTTGCCCATTGGAAAACTTGGTTTATATCTTTTTGGAAGTTAACCGTGTCCTCAATAGACGACACACTCATGCAGATCCTAGTGTCGTCTGCAAAGGATGACACGGTACTGTAGATTACATCTCTATCTATATTTGATATGAGGATGAGGAACAGGATGGGGGCGAGTACTGTGCCTTACGGAACAAAGTTTTTCACTATGGCAGCTTCCGATTTAACTCTGCTTGAGGACTTGCTTGCCATGGTTTCAAACCATCACTTGTTCTGTAATTTGCTTGCACTCGTTATGATTGCGTGAGTCTTGTCGGTAGAGAATACCGACAATATAATACATTTTCATATCAGACATTTATAATCCACTTATTCAGGGAATCGTTGGCGCTGTGGTCTGGAGACCAAGAGCATGAGTATCGAGGAACTTGAAGCTAAGATTCTAGGAACAAGAGCTTAAGCCCATCTATGAAATCAGAAATTTCAGTCTCGGGTCAGAAGGTAGAGCTTATAAACCATACCACGGACCGGGTTAGAACCCGCGATCAGAGAAAAAGCGATGGTTAGAGCTCATTCCGAGGGCTAGAGCTCATCCTCTACCTACTCCTTCCCATTCATTCACGATTATCCATCCCCCCACCAACTCTTCTCCACACTATCCTTCGTGAGAAGATTACTGCCCTTGGCAAGTCATCCAGCCGGGTGATCTGGAAGTTGGCATGACGGCAGTGGACGGTGATGGGTGGTCGTGAGTGGACGGTGGTGGGTGGTCGTTGGTGACTGCCCTGCAGAGCCCACCCTTGGTGTGGGCCGCCCTCCCCGAGGATACAAAAAACTAGAACCCAGAGACGGAACCCTACAGACTAGAGCTCACAGACGGAACCCTACTGACTAAAACCTACAGACGGGACCCTACTGACTAAAACCCAAAGATATAACCCTAGACGGGACCCTACTGACTAGAACCTACAGACGGAATCTTACAGGCTAGAACCCACAGATGGGACCCTACAGACTGGTCCCTACTGGCTAGAATCCACAAACGAAACCCTACAGACGGGATCCTACAGGCTAGAACCCAGAGACGGAACCCTACAGACTACTCAGTGGGTGAGGAAATACCCAGTACCACACCACGTTAAAACTCTCTGGAAGTATCATCACTAACAACTTCACTGGAAACTGGGGAACACAAATGGTCAACACGTCAGGGAACCTTGAGGGTAAGCTGTCACATGTTCTTCAATAGTCACTGAACCATGATGGAAAGCTGCCACACGTTCTTCAACACGAGGAGAAGCTGTCACATGTGTGTGTGAAGTCATCTCCGAGCCGTCTACCAGCTCATGAGGGGGGAGGGGAAGCAGTAACCCCCCTTCTGCTGGGATCTGAGAACTTTCTCTCTTTTACGCCAGGGAACAGAGTTTAGAGGGGGGGGGGGGTCTAAGGCCTCTGGCTGTCCATTAACGGGATGGGGAGGATCACATTTCTTGCAACACTGCAGCCTATCTAAGCAGTTTTAAATTAGAGTGAGATTACATGTAGATAGGACGTTGTCATCCACACATTCCAGTAGAGCAGTGGGCGCTAGTACTTCCCCGACACTTTCCAACAAGCCCCGCGATATTCATATTTATGTTTGCCCTAGAAATACCTGTAGAGAAATTTTCTCCAAGGAAGGGGGTATCGGCCCCCCTTCAGTCCCCTTCAGTTTTCAGCCCTGAGGGGCCCAGCCCTCTCAGAAAGGGCAATGGCGTCTTACTTCTGCATCAACACTTTAATTGGAAGCATATGACTAGAGTGTGTTATGATCATCCGTCTTTGCAAGAGACTAGTGTTGCAATCATAGTGTGGATTAATGAGAGAATTAATCTCTTACAAAAAGCAGGGAAAGTAAGGGAACCCTGCACCCATTATGTGCAACGAGGATAGTACACACTGACGTCTATGCCCAGATAGCAGGAAACAAACCTTCTGCATTGCTTCATGGTGGAAATTTGG